GTAATAGCGAGTGGTTAGTTTATTAGAAACTGATTGCAGGGTGTAATCTTTATGTTTGGGGGAAATTATATCCCGTTCTGAAGCTTCTAATTTCAATTGAGATTTATGTGGGGTTTTGCAGCTTATAATATTATGTTCTCATAAAAACATCATTTCCCCATATGTTTATATAACAAGTGAACCAGTTATGGTTTTCAATATAGCTTAAGTATTTGTGAATATTCCAAATTCATTATGTCCAGGGAGAGCCAGCCCGCATGTCAGAGCATCTTGGAGCGTATTGAACCAAGCCCGCTTGCTAGCAGAACCCATTGCTGGTGCAACAGAAAGAAGCAACCTGAAATAAGCAAATATACCTGAACAGAGAGGTTAGCGGTGTTTGTAGAAGGGTGTTCCATGGACCTTTAACAATCCAGAAATAGGTATTTCAACATGTTTCAGGGATTGCTTTTTAAACTTCCATCTTTCTATTGCAGGATTTGTGGATTCTGCTTGTGCAATAAGTGAAGTAGGACATCAGATCTTATATGTGGGTTGGTACACCAAAGTGTGTGATGCCATAAACAAATCCTTTTCTTTTTACCTAACAGCCATAAGTATTTTGTGTTGTGGCTACTGTTGTTGTAGTATAGCCTCTGTATCTTGTATAAAGCAATTTAATTCCTGTTGTTCCTCAGAAATAGATGTCATATTCTACAAATCACTGCTCTGTATATATTTTTGCTTGCTTTTATATCATTTTATGCTGCTATTCATATAATCGATACACATGCTGTTTTATTACTAATCCATAGGATACATGTAGAGTTGAGACGATGCTGAGCGCTTTGCTTTGCATGTCTTTTTGTGTTGCAAAATGCAATTCACTTTAACATAAATTGCAAAGTAAAAAGGGAATGAGTAAATTAATCCATAGTAATGTGGAGTAGATTAAACTCCATCTATGTGGAAGCAAAACTTTATATATGTAAACAATCAACCAATTGGCTTTTCACTCAGCTGTGTCCTTCTAGCAACTAAAATTAACTTTATGGGATTTGCTGACCACTTTCTCAATGCTGGCTGCATAGAAATGTGGAAATGTCTGTGATTCATGAACTCACAACGCAAACATTTCTAAATGTTTTCAAGCTGAGACAGCAGTTGAGAAACACAACCCTTTATGGAGCAGACCTGCGTACTGACTTATGTGTACTTGCTGAGAGCCAATCTCTGTCCTTATATTTTAGGCCATGAATGAAATGAATTTGAATGGCACATAGAGTGGGGGCACCAGGGTGAAGGGGCTGTAGACAAGATGCCTTTTGCATCCCACCCACAGGCTTCTAGGAACGCCACACCCTAGTTTCTCTGCCCACTCCCATTTACCTCCCACCCCAAGTGCACTTGGTCTTTCTCTCTCTGCTCCTTCTCTTCCAGCTCCAGGTGTGCCTTCCCACTTAATTTAGCAGGCAGTGATACATTTTCTTTCTTTTTATTTCTTTTTATGTTTTAGAAAAGTTCAGGTGTGCTGCAGAGTGAATCTGTAGTTGTATCTGGCATTTAGAATTCTCCAGAGTGCCTTTGTAGAATGAAGAAGCTGGGTGCAATTGATGCTTCCTTCAGGTGTACCCAGCCTTTTGCTGAAAGTTAAAGGAGAAAGCGAGAGAGAAAGAAGATGCAATTGCCTGATAAGGCATGGAGTGAGGGGAGCACAGAGCAGGGTTGGGGATAACGGAGTGCAGAGAACGAAGTGGGGACTCTCAAGTCCACGGGACCCTGGAACTGACTTCTCTGGTCTGGCCATAGTAGTGTATATGAACATACACTACTGTGAATCCTGGTCCATAGCACAGAAATTGTATTTTCATTGGATGAAGAGAACAGTTTAATCTCCGTAAAGCTGAAATATGTAGCAACCTTGCTAGTATAATTCTGCTTACTTTTAGACCCCAGTTTTCTTTTCTGTCCATTTTATGAGTATTATTGATAGAAGTGTTTGTATTACACGGTCTGAAAGCATGTACATGGCAGGGCATGGGAGGAAGGATTTCAACGTTCGTGGTAATGTTCCTGTGGTAGGTGCAGCTCAGGATTTCATAGCTTCCAGAGGTAGTCAGAGAGGACAGGCTGATGACGTGGTGGCAATTGTTATCACTTCTTCAGATGAGAGCTCTGTTCCATCTTGCTTAAAAAGACAGGAGTTCATTCTTTGTTTATGAAGTTACTGTTCTGAATAATTATTGACCAGTATCAGACATTCATGGGACAGGCATAAGATGTCTGGATATGTAGAAGCAACTCAGTTCCAAGAACTCCCAGATGAAATTGATCAAATGGATAAAGTTTTCAGCTCTAGTTCTTGGATAGAAACAGCTTTGGTTGCCCTGTTAAATTATCTCTACCAGGAATAGACAGGGGGCAGGGGACATGTCCTGGTAGGCTCTGCTTGTTCTCTGAGCAATTTCAGTATCGCTGGCCATGGTATCCTTCTGGGACATCTTGCTGAGATGGGGGAGGGACTACATTGTGGTGCTTCCCCTCTTTCTTGGCTGATAGGTTTCAGAATGTGTTTCTAGACTCAGGCTTGGCTGGTTTGTCTGTGCGGTTCCATAGGGTTTCTTGTACTTTTCCACATTTATGCAAAGATTCTGGGAAAAATCATCCAGCAATGAAAGTTGGTTTTCTTCAGTATCCTGATGATATTCTAACTTTCTTTTCATCATATTCTGGGAAGACTGTATATATATATTGTGAATTGGTATTTGGGGGTCTACAATGGACTGGATGAGAATAAACTGAGAATAAATCGAGACAAGACAAAATAAGATAGCCTGCAAGTTCAGGGACCTCTGCTGTGGTTGTATCTCCTTAAAAGGTCAGATTCATTACCTGGAAATACTTTTTCACCAGACAGGTGCCAGTGATGACCAGGAGTACTTTTGTCCAGCTTTAACTTGCACATCCATTATACCCATTCTTGACATGGAAAATCACTACTTTAACGTGTTCTGGATGCTGCTGCCCTGACAAAATAGCTGAAACATCAACTAATGCAAAATTCTGCAGCTAAACTGTTCACCAGGACAAAGTTCTGAGGTCGCGTGAACCCTTTATCATATTAGCCATGCTTGCTGGCAGTTAATTTCTGAGTGCAATTCCAGGTCCTGCTTATTACCTTTAGTGCCTCTAATAGCTTGGGAACAGTCCACTTTAAGGGCCATTTTCACCCCTATGAGCCTGCCTGTGCTTTACAATCAGCTGCTGTGCTTTTCCTGCATGAGGATGAGCCATTCATTGCCTTCGAGGGATAGTAGGTGGTAAGATGTAGTTGGGGTTACTCAGTGGTAGCAGCCTCCTGTGTGGAACTCTTCCTCTTTCCCTGCCCTTCCAGCTGTCTCTCTTTAAAAAGCAATCCATTCTGTTACTTATTTTCAATTATTGATGGTTTGGGCTCTTTGTGTTTCTGTCTCTGCTGCTCTTAGCTTCTTGTCGGTGATTTACATATGGGCTGAGTGGACTGCAGCCCAGGGCCTCATTATCTAGGGGGGCCTCAGCCTTCTGCCAGATTTTTTTAAATCATTATTTTATTTCATTTGTAACAATAAAATCAGGGGCATACCTAGGCAAAATGTCATACTCTCAGCTAAAAAGGATAAAGAATGATCTAAGATCAGCCATGTCCCAAGACTGGTTCTTTGAGCCAAGCATTCTCTGCATAGAAAATGATAAACTACGACTTACTGATTTTAATTATATAACTCATGGGTCCTCAAACTACGGCCCAGGGGCCAAATCTTGTCCGCCATGCCCATTTATCTGGCCTGCCTCAGAGGTTTTCAGTGCGCCGCACGCCTGTGCACCATGCGCACCCACCATCCCCCACCTTGCCCCCCCATGGGGGGAGGTGGCGGCTTGCTTACGAGGAGATCATTTTGGACTCGCTAGGAGAAAACAATCTCCAAGCGAACCAGCCGCTGCATCACGCGCCCGCTGCTGCATCATGGCACATGCCTGCCCCCGCCTCGCCTCGCCTCGCCCTGTGCCCTGCCTACGCTGCGCCCGCCTTCGCTCCTGTGCATCCTGTCCCCCGCACCCCACTCCCACCCCCGCACCAGCCCACGCGACCCACCAGTACCACCTTTCCAGCCCGCGCCCAGCACCTTTCAACTGGCCCCCTGGTGGAAAAGTTTGAGGACCCCTGATATAATTGATAAGTTTGCTTGCAAAAAAGCTCGATAGAAACTATTTTGACTTTGTATATAGTGTCGTGTTATGACATAGATATGATTTCCCTATGAATGTTCTGTGTGAACACATTCATTAATCCATACTTTTGTAAACTTATTATAGTTTATAAATTTATAAACAATCTTTTTACCAATGCTAAAATTTCAGCAGATTTCCACTTTCATCAAGTAGATAAAAAAGAGAATGAGGTTTTCCTTCTCATGATCAGGTGCTATTAAGTTTGGGCCTCCCAAGGCCTCCTAGCCCAGGGACTCCAGTTGCTTTAATCCAGGACTGGTTCTTGTAGATGTGTTTTAATAAATAGTCATTGTTTTATGTGTGCAATAAGCTGCTTTGAGTGCCTCCTTCTTCAGGAGGGGAAGTGTGGTTATGAATTTGCAAAACTAATAGTTGAAGTAATGAAAACAATAGTTTGCATTGAATGGCCTTTCCTGAGAGTTTTAAAATTTGGAAGAATGAGACTGCTTGTGCAATTGTTTTGATGCTGATGATCAGGAAAGTGTGGTGCTAAATTGATTGAGGGTACAGTCCAGTGCATCTTTAGATAGAAAACTCCCAGTATCTCTTAGGCAGCACAGCTGGCTGGGGCTTGCTGGAAGTTGTAGACCTTTTCCTCTGTCTAAGCATGTTCAGAACTGTGCCCTTAGTCAAAAAGGTTTGCAGATTTTCAAACAATAAGTGGTATTGTGGAATGACTTTGCATAAGAACTTTTTCGTTTAGTTGACCAACTTTTGTAATGCTATATATAATTTTCTTTATGAAGCCACAGATTGCCTTGCTCCAATTGTTGAAGATGCAGAGGTTTATAACAAGACATACAGGACTGGAGATAAGTTAATTATCAGCTGTCATGAAGGATTCCAGATCCGTTACCCTGATATAGACAACATGGTTTCTGTATGTCAAGACGATGGAAGTTGGGACAATCTGCCCATTTGCCAAGGTTTAGTACACTGGAACATCCTCCTTCTTTTACAGATCTCACACTTTGTACTAGTGTAACATGCTTTTTTTTTTAACAGCTGAATGAGATAATAGTTTTCTGCCATGACCGTAGTATCTTTGCAGAAGGCCCTTTTCAGTTAAGATGGGCATACATATCTGTGCCTAAGAAAGATTAAATGAACATTCCTCTAGCTTTACTTGAGTGACCAAATTTTATGTTCACTGCCTTATTATTTATTAAACCAAACAGGTGAGAGGTTAAGAGTATTCTATCAAAATAATTCCTTAATCAACTTGGAATTCTTTCTGTGTGTGCCAGGGTGCTGGGAATTCTCTACCAAGAGAAAGAGACGCTCACCTGGCTACCTCCCTGTTTTTATTCTGATGCCAGGTGGAAACTTTCCAGGTCCAAACACTTTTTCAGGAGACTAGGAATTTTCCTGATGTCTGTGAACCTAACTAGATATTTGAGGGACAGGGATGCCTTCTTCACCTCTCCTATAAGACTTAGCAAAGAAGCATATTGGCATGAAGTCTTGCCCATGTCTCATTGCCCTTACTGACCATTTCTTGCAGGAGACTGAAAAACAGTGATGTGGATGCCATCACACTGCACATTTCTTTTACTGGACATTAGTGGGGAGATGTGCATTAAAGGTATCCACGTGTCCCCTGTAATGTCTAGTTAGGCAGTGTGGATCTATGGCTTAGCTGCAGAAGCTGTGTTTTTAGTTACGGGCAGTTCTGCTTTTATTCTAGGAATTGAACTTTTAGAAGCTTTGTTTTTAAAACCTATTTTTACAGTGTGTCTTATATTTTCATGCTTTGACTTGCTTTGGGTGTGTATGTAAGAACAGAGCAAATATAATTAAAGAGCATAGGAGAGGAAGCAAGGGAAAGATAAGCCTGAATTGTATCCCCAATCTCTCCTGCAGGTAGGAAGTCCTTGTACATGTTCCTAGGAAGGGGTGGGTCAGTGAGGGATCCACTTCAGATAGTCGTCTTTTGTTGGGTATGCATTCCAGACCCATGTCCTGTGGGTCCTACCTGGAGAAAAATGTTTACTCTCTAGGCTCTTGACCCCTCCACAGGAGTTTGGGACTTTTAGTATAGTGAGGAAATGAGTAAGGGGGCAAGAGACATTTATAAAATCATGCATGGTATACAGACTACAAATATCTTCATTCCACAGTATTGACTATTCTGACTAGGGTTGATGGGATTTGTAGGCCAATGCATGTCACATGTTTCCCTCCCCCAGTATATGATTACAGAGTTATAAATCATTTGTAGTCATCTGCCCAGTCTTAGAGATATTTCCTGACTTAGCAGCAATTGTTACACATAAGAGATATCTGTGGAGTGGATAACAGCAAAGTAAAACCAAAAATCCTAGCAGCTTTAGAGAAGTTTTAGTGGGAGAGAATAAAAAGGTATGCACCTGACTCTAAAAAGACAACAGTGTAGACACCAGGAAAGGCTCTGTGAGGGGGAAATTAATTGTTCTATCTACGAGAAAGTTCTTCTGTTCACAGTCATTTTTAATAAGTGCAGAATTTTCTCCTGCACCATTGAACTCAGATGAAAAGCTCCCGCTTTCTGAAATTAATGGGTAGCTTTGGAAGTTTCTTAATGTGGATATCCATAACTATGCAACTGACTATAATTGGCCAATATTCCTTTTCT